AGTGTATAAATAGACAACTGGATGGCGTCATGAGCCACTCAGATAGGCTCTCAAGGGACAACACGAAAAGTGTGGAGTTGCTGGTGGTCTTGAACAGATTAACATGAAACAGAATGTGGCAGAAATTCCGTAGCGGAGGAACTTACGGATTGGCACGTAGCCTTGTATAAGGCCTTCCAACTGTTCATCTACAAACAACAAAACGAAATAAAAGCGTTTCAACGTGATGATATCTATCGTTCGTCTACTGCAGTTCCGGTGATTCTCCAAAATTTTTAAACCAAGTGCTAGATATTGTTGCGTGAAATTATTTTCCCGGACTATCAGGTGAGGACGCTTACGTGATTTTCCACCGTTAGTTATACACATAAATAATGACAATATTTGTAAGATAAGGTGAAATGGATGCATTCTACGAGCTTCGTGATATAGAACCGCTCACGAATATTGCAATGCCTTTAATCACGGCTACTTATCTAATCAGACTGTTGAGTGACTTTAGCAAATCATCGACCAGTCGTTGTGTGACTCGTCCGAAGTTCATGCAATCGGCGTTGAGAAAGCGACCACCCTTATCTCGGATTGACCCTGCGGCCAGAGATGCGGCAACGATTAGGCACGAATGGCAATGCGATCTGTTTCTGACTCGTGGAAAGCGTTAATCGGTCAAACCGTTAATCGACGAATGAGCAGATTAGATGAGCAGCTATTAGTAGATGAGTAGCAGAATAGATTGGAAAGTCAATAGAACTCGGTGTGATTCATATCAATGTGACTCAAGGACCACGATTTTTTTCAGCTTAACTGCATCAAACAGGCTTCAAGTGATTTGAACTGGGTGTTATTTTTAGCGCGGTTTTCGTGGAACTGCCGTTTGTGCATTGAAACTGGAAATATTTTCTTAGATGTTTGTGGATGATCGGGCCTACGATCTCCACTGCTTGGAAAGTTTACCAAATGGACACCAGATGGAATTACGTCTATTCATTTTTAGCGCCACTAACGAATGCACATCAAGAGGGGGTTCTCCATATGATCGGAGTGTTGAATACTGAGTTGAACTTCTTCTCACCTAAACCAGGCCTTCGTCCTAGCTGTAAAAATATCGCCAAGGTTATCCGCAGATATGCTCAAAGGAAGGATACGATCGTTCATGCAACCATACCCATTCCAAAACCCGAATGCTCTCCCAAACATAAAGTACCCTTTCTGCACTTGTTGATCCCGCTAAAGTGAGATTTATCCGGTAGTGTTAAATCTTGTAAGGGTTGGTCAAATTCTGTGTTTGTGGATGTGGGTGAAACCGACGCCGACGAAATTCACCTTTTATTGAGCACGATTGGAGTGGGGAAATCTCACTTGATTAGGTTTGCTCAAGTTATTGCCAACAGAAGATCTCCTAAAGTGCAAACTTGCGGTATGTTTTCTGCGCTCTGTCTTAGTACAGACTGCAGACAATGCGGAGTAGTACGTCGGGATGTCATCTGCTCTTTATCCGTGCCCGTTTTGCTTGTTGTATGGAGGGGAGAGATCTCAATTGACCAGGTTTAATTAAGTAGATGCAGCGGGATCTGGCAAGCATCCTCAAAAATGAAATACCGTTTCTGGCTTTGTTGTGACTTGTAATGCTTGATTGGTCCCATGGTGTGACATTTTGATAGGGTTGGTCAACTCGTGTGCGTGTGTGTTTATGGGTTTGAATGAACTTGATGTGGATCACGTGTGACTGTTATTTGGCAAAAATGGACTGAGGAGGTCTCACTTGGTTAGGTTCAGTCAAGCAGTCACAGCTGAACCGCGCGAAAGATGTTAGCGAACAAGATAATACCTAAAGTTCACTTATGTGGTGAAGTGTGACTGCTGCGGATCAGACCGTTGTTGCCGAATAGCGATGTGGTGAACCAGTAGCACGTAGAGAGAGACGATGCATCTTCCAGGACCTTTGTGAGACGATCATTCTTTTCGGGTTCTGGCAGTGGCAAAAGACGGTCTTCGTTACGAAATTGCTACCGGGACCTCAAAATACGTCAAAACATCTTGGGTGCATTCGGATTATGATAGCATTGTTTCGCTGATCTCACTCTACGCTGTCCTCCGGTTATGGACTAGCGAGCTCAGTGAAATCCAAAATTGAATCCTCGTCGTTCCCTCATGTCGAAACAAAGCCTCAAATTATTAAGGTCACATACTAAAGGCTTTGAGCAGTTTTTCCCAAACATTAGGTCAAACCATATTAGTTAAAGCACAAGATGATTCCCATTCATTAAATGACTGTGCATCATTCGTGGTTTTACCAAATGCGATTTGCGAGTACACTCAGAACCAACATACTGGTGCAGTTGGCCTCACTGCCCCCGAACCCATGGTTTCTCTGCATACAGCCCCATTGTGTTCAATGTCGATGGATAGATCTGTGCCCGAACTTACTGCGGTATCTTTTCTCCAAACAGTAGAAATTTTACACAAAATTTTAGCATTCGGTGTTTCTGACTTAAAAACGCCTATTCACCTTAAGCGCTCACAGATGTGTTCAAACGTCGCAAATTTCGACGCTTTAATGCCCGAACACGGCGATAACCAAAGGGCGAGCAGATAAGCATTCATGCTCGACGAGGTTGTACGTGAACTGAATTTGTCCTTTGGGAATTACCTCTGTTTGCGTGCGCTATCTATCCTATCCCACTCGACGACCAAGCCTGATTTCGCAGCAACTGACTATCTGCTCCTATAGGTGCGACTTATTCTCGGGATTCCGTGCTACCTCTTTCCTCGACCTAGTACATGATAACCAATTCTGGTTTACAAAAAGCGATCTTTTCCCGTGAGTGGAGCCAGGTTATATTGGCAGGCCGAAGAGTAATTCATAAGTGTTTCGTCCTTATTGGATTCATCAGCAATGAAATGACTGGAACCAGCTTCCTTCTGGCTAGCCGTGGAACACTCAACCGTTCAGCATCAGCGATAGTGTTGACCATGGTGACGATGATGATGTTTCCGGGTGTCTTTTGACAGTGCAATAATTTAGGACTACGAAATGACCCAATGGCTAAACCAGCCAAGCAGCTCGGACTTGGTTGTGAATAAGCCGATAGAAAGGCGAGATTCAAGAAGCCGGATGATCAATAATGTGTCATCGGCTAACGTCGGGACATATCAAGCGAATGATGTTGTGAGCTAGGTAAAACAATAATGTGGCTTTTCGTATGGAGGTTAAGTGAAGCAGACGTTCTCCTCTATTCTGTAGGCGGTTTTTAGTTCAAAGTCTGGTCATTCACAACAATTGGTTGAAGAAGACACTACAGACAGGCATCAT